AATACTTATTTTATTAAAAATAATTAAATATTTTTTTAGTTTAAAGATATTTTAAATAAACACTATACTAAATTTATAATTTAATGTTATTTTTTTGTACTTAAAAAAATAAAAATTTATGATGTAGATCACCAATTTAATTAGGGACCAAATTTGTTTGTAGCTAATGTAATTTTTATAGTATAAATTAAAATACTACAAATTTGTAAATATAAAATTAGTATGTTATAAATTTTTAGAAATAAAGAAATGTTATTTAACCCAATTTTAAAAAAATAATTTTTTACACATTTTACATTTTAATTAATTGATATTTGAAGTTCCCAGGTTGTTTGGAGCGGTCAACGGCTATATGTTCGCGCGTGTTTTTGGCGCGTAAATGTGATTTTGTCTATACAAAGAAGGAAAGTTCCGAAACGCGCGGTAATTGGCATTGACGGAGAGCCTATGAATGACCATCTTTCCCCGTTTTCGAAGCCCTAGAAAGATACCCATTTCTCATTTCTCCTTTCTTCTCCATTTTCATCTGGCTTCTTCCTCCTCCTCCTCCTCCTGTTCCTGAAATTCTCATCTCAAAATGTGATTCCGATTGGACTACGTTTCTTCACGCTTCGATTCCAATTTGTTTCGATTTTGAATCTGGATTTTCAGGTCTGGAGCCATTGAAGAGGAAGCCAGATAGAAGAACACTCGAGGATCTTCCTTTCATTTCTTGCGAATCTCGTAAATGACGTTTTGAAACGTGTTGAGATTTCCGTTTTTTTTTTACTTGAGCGTTAATTCTTGTTTTTCTCTGGCTTTCTGTGGTTTATAATCTCTTGATTTATATTTTGTATTACGCGAATTTGAAATTTCAACGATAAGAAACAGAGAAAGAAAGGAGGAGGAGAACGGTTTTGATTTGTGAGTGATTTCAATGGGGAAGCCAACGGGAAAGAAGAAGGAAAATGTCGGGGATAAGCCTGGAAATGCTAATCCTAAGCCTCCCCGGCCTTCCGATCGGAACTTGAAAGCGTTTGATGAAGATACGGCCATCTTCATTAACATGTCCCAAGAACTCAAGGAGGAAGGCAAGCGGCTATTCCAGAAGCGAGATCACGAAGGCGCCTTGTTGAAATACGAGAAAGCTTTAAAGCTTCTGCCGAGGAATCACATTGATGTCGCTCATCTCCATAGCAACATGGCTTCCTGTTATATGCAATTAGGGATGGGCGGGTATCCACAAGCGATTAACGAGTGCAATTTGGCGTTGGAGGCTCATCCGAGGTACACCAAGGCGCTGCTGAAGAGAGCGAGATGTTACGAGGCATTGAATTGGTTCGATTTGGCATTGAAAGACCTGAGTACTGTTTTGAGCTTGGAGACTAATAATCTCTCTGCGTTGGAGATTTTGGATAGTGTCAAGAACACAATGAGAGAAAAGGGTGTCAATATCGACGAGAAAGAACTCGGTTTAACAACTCTAAAGCTGCCTCCTGCAGCACGTTTTCGTAAGATTGTCAAGGAGAAACTAAGGAAGAAGAAGAATAAGAAAGTCGAGGAGAAGGTTGATCAGGTGCCTCAGGTTGATCAGGTGCATCCGGTGACTCAAGTGCCTCAGGTTAATCAGGTGCATCAGGTGCCTCAGGTTGATCAGGTGCATCCGGTGACTCAAGTGCCTCAGGTTAATCAGGTGCATCAGGTGCCTCAGGTTGATCAGGTGCATCAGGTGCCTCAGGTTGATCAGGTGCATCAGGTGACTCAAGTGCCTCAGGTTAATCAGGTGCCTCAGGTGCATCAGGTGACTCAGGTGCCTCAGGTTAATCAGGTGCCTCAGGTGCCTCAGGTGACTCAGGTGACTCAGGTGCCTCAGGTTAATCAGGTGCCTCAGGTGCCTCAGGTGCCTCAGGTTAATCAGGTGCCTCAGGTTGATCAGGTTAATCAGGTGCCTCAGGTTGATCAGGTTGAAGATAAGGAAGTTACAACGGTTGAGGAAGATAAACTGTTCGTCGAACCGGCCAAGGAAAAGCCAGTCTCGAAGACGGTGAAGCTAGTATTTGGAGAAGACATAAGATGGGCGGAATTACCTACAAATTGCAGCATTAAATTGGTGAGCAAGATAGTTCGAGACAGATTTCACAGCTTAAGGGGTGTTCTTGTGAAGTACAGAGATCAGGAGGGTGATTTGATTACAATCACTACGACTAAAGAGTTAAGGGCAGTTGAAGCATCTAGTCACTTACAGGGTTCTCTTAGACTGTACATCACAGAGGTCAGTCCTGATCAGGAACCAATCTACAAGGAAACCGAAAACCAGGAGGCGCTCCCAGAGCTTGATAAAAGAACAACTACAGTCGAGGACTGGATAATCCAGTTTGCACGATTGTTCAAGAACCAAGTCGGAGTTGATTCTGATTCTTACTTGGATCTTCATGAGCTTGGAATGAAACTGTATTCAGAAGCAATGGAGGACACTGTAACCGGCGAGAATGCTCAAGAACTTTTCGACATTGCAGCTGACAAGTTTCAAGAAATGGCAGCTCTGGCATTGTTCAACTGGGGGAATATTCACATGTCCAGAGCAAGGAAGCAGCTGTTCTTCCCAGAAGACGGTTCAAGAGAAGTTTTACTTCTTAGGATTAAGGATGCATATGAGTGGGCAGAAAAAGAATACAAGAAGGCCGAAATTCGATACGAAGAAGCTCTAAATGTAAAGCCTGACTTCTATGAAAGCTTCCTTGCACTTGGGCAGCAGCAGTTTGAGCAAGCTAAGCTTTGCTGGTATTATGCAATGGCGAGCAGAAGCAAAATTGATTTAGAGTCGAGCTTTTCCTCGGAGGTCTTGCAGCTTTATAACAAGGCAGAAGACAGCATGGAGAAGGGCATGATGATGTGGGAAGAAATGGAGGAGCAGCGCTTGAATGGACTCTCCAAAAGTGAAAAATACAAATCTGAGTTGGGAAAGATGGGATTGGAAAGACTGTATAGTGAGATACCTGCTGATGAAGCTGCAGAATTGGCTTCAAACATGAGATCACAGATATATCTTTTATGGGGCACCATACTGTATGAGCGCTCTGTTGTGGAATATAAACTTGAGCTACCAACCTGGGAGGAATGCTTGGAGGTGTCGGTCGATAAGTTCGACCTCGCCGGTGCCTCCCAAACTGATATTGCAGTTATGATAAAGAATCATTGTTCCAATGAAACTGCACAGGAAGGTAAAGTACAAGCAGACCTCCTTTAATCTTTGTTCATAATCCTTTTGTGTTGTTAATAGAGCATTTTATTGTTTTGAGCTTGCAGGTTTCGGTTTCGGTTTCAAAATCGACGAGATCGTACAGGCATGGAATGAAATGTATGATGCTAAAAGGTGGCAGTTTGGTGTTCCATCTTTTCGCCTCGAGCCTTTGTTTCGACGTCGGGTTCCGAAACTTCACTTCACTTTGGAGCATTTTTGAGTGTTTTGTTGTTGATGGGAGATGTTTTGAGGCATTCAAGTAATATTTCAGCTTTGATTGCTTCAATTTTCTGGTGTTTTTCTTCCCACGGACAGAAGGTAAAAGAGCCTCTACTGTTCTTGATTATCTCATTTACAAGCTTTCCATATTCCATTTGTTTTCAACTGTGAGTTAACCCTGATAGCATGCTCACCTCGCTTTTAGCAAAGAATACTTAGAACTTCTAGTTTGATTCGACAGATGTTGAACAATAATCCATGTGTGAGATCCCACCTCGGTTGGAGAGGGAAACGAAGAATTCTTTATAAGGGTGTAGAAAACTCTCCCTCGCAAAACGTTTTAAAAACTTTGGTTGGAGATGCGTTTTAAAAACCTTGGGAGGAAACCCGAAAGGAAAAGACCAAAGAGGACAATATCTCTAGTGGTGGGCTTAGGCGGTTACAAATGGTATTAGAGCTAGACACCGGTCGTTCGGTCCCCCCGCATTCCTTATTATACGAGTGTAGAAACCTCTCTCGGACGCGTTTTAAAATCTTAAAGAAAGCTTAAAAAGGACAAATATTTTATGGTGGTAGGTTTGGGCTGTTACAAATGGTATCAGAGCCGGACACTGGGCGTGCCAACGAGGAAGCCTCTTCCTAGTAGATGCTTTTTAAAAACATTGAGGGAAACCCCGAAATTGTTACCAAATGGGAAAATTTTGAGATCAACTACATTCCCATGAACTTAAACTTATTACTTCTATGAATGCATAATCCTAGCAGCAACTTCCATTCTTGGCCTCCGTCAGGGCAGAGCTCTCATAATCTGGTTGATTTATATCCCATCTTGGAGACGCAATCTTGGCTTCTCCGAAACTCGATCCTTGCAACTTTCAGTATACATGTCTGGTTTTCAGTCCCGGATTCGATACAATTTCTTGCGATGAACTTAGCATGCCTGTTACATGTTTCATATCTTTATCTGCCAAATGTGTAAAACATTGCATGGATTATTATTGATAGAAGTTAGTGATGTTGTGTTCTTTGTGTGGTTGCAGATGTTTCAAGTCGTGGTTTGGTTGTTCTCATAGTAATATTCTTCATTCAAGACAAGATTGGCGATCCAACAACAATGGTTATTTAGGGCAGAGGAGGCAATTCTATAATTAATTCATTCTTTAACGATGTTGAATAAACAGAATCTGTTTGTGAAATTTGAAAAGCAGATTGTTTTGGAATGAATTATAAAAGCAACACCAAATTATGTGTTTTTAATATTGATATTTGGGCTAAATTAATAAAAATAAAATATCTTTAAAATTTATATTTTTGCCTTAAAAAAAATATATTTACTATTGGCATAAAAATCCTTAATATTTTCTTTAAAAAGATGTATAGTTTCTTTTAAAAATTTAAGCCTTCATTTTCTCGAAAGAAATTTTTTTAATTTAGTGGGCCCCACACTCAATATTTGTCAAAAATAGCAGAATCAAACACGTGTCATAGTCGTTGGCGGGAAGCCAAACAGCACTTTGCTGGTTGTATACGCTATAAATAGAATCAGCCATCGACTTTCTTCCTCTGTTCTCTCTCTCTCTCTCTCTCTCTCGGATTTCTTTTTCCCTCTGTTCTCTCTCTCTCTCTCTCGGATTTTGGATCAAAATGACCTTCTCGGATCATCCTCCTCTGTGTATCTTCATCGACGACGGCTGAGAAATGCCTTAGCGACTTACATTCTTCTTCTTCTTCTTCGTGTACATTGCTGGTAGCGATTCTTGATCTCTGCAACTACCGACTCAATGTGATTTTACATTTAGGGCTTCGTTTTCGGAATATCGAAAAATTTGTTGTGTTTTACGTCTAATGCTTCTTCTTCTCTACTTTTGGTTTCTAGTGCTTGAATCGGTAGGTTTTGCTTTACTTTTGAGGTAGAAATTATACGAGTGATGGATTACAACTGGCATTGCTTATCTCCAGGCATTGTAATCGTCTACAATGTTGAGGTTCCTCTACGGTGACGGACTTTTCGGCATTGAAAACAGGTTTGCGTTTGGCTTAATCTTTTTTTCCTTGCTATTTACGGCCTCTGTTTTCGTCTTCTTGATTCGTACTGGCGTTCAAATCAATTATCCTGTAGTACTAGAACTTGCGTTGTTGAGAATGCTGAATTGTTCGTCTCCGTCGTATTTGTTTTACGGATAACATGTTTTAGTTATCGGATGGAGTAAGTAGCGTTTTGTGCTGGTAATTTAGTTGCGGCGCAGTAGCCTGAACACATCTATTGATTATGCTGAATTGTTCGGCTCCGTTGTCGTATTTTTTTTTTTATGATAATGTGTTTTTGTTATTGTATTGAATAAGTAGCGTTTTGTGCTGGTAAACTAGTTGAGGCGCAGTAGCCTGAACACATCTATTGATTATGCTGAATTGTTCGGCTCCGTCGTCGTATTTGTTTTATGATAATGTGTTTTTGTTATCGTATTGAATAAGTAGCGTTTCGTTCGCATGAATTTTGTTCTGGTAAATTAGTTGTCGCACTGGAGCCTCGATGCCTGTATTTCTCTCTGTCTGCTTTACGTTCAATTAACATGCAATTAGCTCGCTGCCTGTAAGCATTGTATTGATGTTTGGGACGTAGCATCTTTTGTCGACATTATGCATATCGTATTACAGTCGTGGGTGAAATTTTGTCGCGTAATCGCATAAGCATAGTAAATTGACATAAGATATGAAGCATGTTTTCTTTTGACATTATGTTAAAAAGTAATAAATTCAATTAATAAGTTAAAGGTGAATTTAATCTTTATATATATTCTTGATCACTCATATTTTGTATTCATGCATAAATGAAATGTTGTTCATGTCTCTGAATTACTGCATCAGTGTTTGGCTGAAAGCTAAACATACAATTATTTAGTATTATTGTCTCAAAATGTCCCATTCTCTCTAGTTTTCTCTAGCATCTGATCCAATTTCTGTTTTTTTTTTTTTTTTTTTTGTATCAAATCTCCTTTTTGGTATTTTTGAAGACACTCTTAGAGAGTTTAATTCATGCATATTAAAAACAAGATGTTGATTTTGTAACTTTGTCCTCCAAGTTTCCTATTTTGAATATTTGAAAAGAACTAAGACTAAGGGCATTCAAGGTTTAGATTGGATAAGGTTAGGTTGAGAAATTTTTAGATAACTCAATTGTTTAGATGGTAAATTTTTTTTCAACTAAACTAATCCAATACTAAATAATAAATGTAACTCAATCCAACTTAAAATTATTGATTTAAAATTTTGTTTTTAATAAAAATAAAATATTAAGGCTTTTAAGAGTTATAGGAGGTATTCACATGTGTGAAAATTTGTCACTTGTTTGTCTGGGTCTCACATGGCCAATTTTTTATTACAACATTCTCGACTATAGAATTCGGCCCGAAGGATCAACTCAATGGGCGGGGCAAAGGAGGTATGAATATTGAATTATTATATGCGTTTTTAAAAATTACATTCCAGAAGCTTCAAGTTTTAGTTTAGAATTGTTAGGAAATAAATAATTGTAGAATTAATATATAATTATGGCGTAGACTGCATACCCAGATTCTGTTTTTTTTTTTTTTTTTTTTTTTGTATGTTTTTATTGCCCTAAAAGAAATTAATTTCAAGTAAAAAGTATTATAATTGATACTCCTTGAGGAACTTAGAGAATAGAATGTCAGATGTTTTACTTTTTCTCGATTTATATTTCTATTCTGTCGAAAATGTACTATTTTCTTGGAGTTGCAGAATAAGGTACGAGGATGTGTAATGTTGTTTTTGATTTGTACTTAATTATATGTAAACTTTTAATTTCAACGAGATAATTATATGTAAACTTTTAATTTCAACGAGATAATTATATGTAAACTTTTAATTTCAACGAGATAAGTTAAAGGCCTGATTTCAAACAAACCTAAATAGAACAGTTTTTCTTTCTTTTTCTTGTAAAAATAAAGCTGCATTTGATAATTGACATAGTTTTAGTTTCTTAATTTTGAAAAATACTTTTGAAATTGTAGTAATGTTCTAAAAAAATGGGGTTCGTTTACCAGTGAATTTTTAATTTTTTTAAAAAACCTCAATTCTTCCTTTTACATACTGGTTCAAATCTCACATCTCAACATTTCTTTTGATTTCTTTTGATTCGTACTTAATTATATGTAAACTTTTAATTTCAACAAATAAATTGTAGGTAAACTTTTAATTTCAACAAATAAGTTAAAGGCCTGATTTCTTGGATGAACTATAGAAAGCAACCACAAGTAAGCAACCACAAGTTTTTCCATGGAGGGAGTATTCATTACCAATGACCTTTCAAACACGCCGGGAATCTACCGCTCCATCAAAAATATACTAAAATTTAACTTTTAGAAGAGTGGATTGACGAACATGTATTTTAAAAAGAGAATGTGAAGCTCTTAACTAAATTATAAGAAAAAGGCAAATAAATAACAAGTTTTAATAATTTTTATTACTTTCCTACCTAATAAATCATTGAATTTTAAGCTTTTGAGTCCCTACCCTAAAATATTTGATAATTTCATAAAATGAGCAAATCCATTAAATTTTGTATCGAATAAAATTATGAACTTTTAATTTTGTTCAGATGATTAAAAATAATCTTAAAAGTTAAAAAGAGAGATATTTTTAAAATTTCAAAACCTATTTTTTTAAATTCATGAACCAATAAAAATTTGAAAGTTTAAAACTTCTCAGCACATGCAGGAGAATATTGTAATTTTAATCGTACCTGTTGGGTCGGTGAAGATTCTTGACAAGAGTAGTCGGCATAACTTACGGAAAGATTTATCGGCATAATTAGGACCGATTAGAAGAAAGTTATCTATCAAATATTAAGGCACATATGCTGATAACAGATGGGTCATTGGCATTCTCTACAACCATGATGAACAGTTTAAATTAAGGCAAGACTTTTTCAAAAACTTAGATGAGAAATATTTGCAAAATATCTTAAAGAGAATAGACAACAATTTCATATGAATATTGATAAGCAGTCGGCAGTACATTATAATTGAAAGGATTATAGCTCAGATGTTCAATTTCAAATGCCATTCTATAAAAAATTCTAACCAATTGGTAACTTTTTTTATTATTATATATATACTTTTTATAATCTATTAGGATCTACGATCTTGTATAAGAAATGACCCTAATAAAGCAGGCAACATAACGTAGTATCTTTAAACATGGAGGCATCAATTAAAGGTACTAATTCAACATGCAGGTGAAGGCAATAATCAAAGAAAGATACCAGTCGAATTTGGCAACTGCTGCTAAAAGGCTAACAAAAGATGATTCGCCACATGGATGCTCAGCTAGTTCCTTCTAGAAAAGAATACGAGTATCTTATTACGAAATTGATAGGGCAGTGATGAATCAATAATAAACAGAATTTGGTACTCTTTTATAGTGGATGAGTACCTTGAGAAGCACGATCAAGATTGTATCACAAGCCGAGAATATGGATCCGATCCATTGTCGTCAATCCAGCCACCATCCATGCTTTGTGAATGAAATTTATAAGGCATTTCCAATTCACAACCTGCAGACAAGACGCAAATGCTCAATGATTAAGAACATCAGCATGGGCAAAAGTACTAAAAATGTAGAATGTTTCAGTGTATGTCGAAGAAGAGTACAGAAGGTCATTTGTATAAATGAATTCGAGTTTGCAATTACTTACAGCTGCAAGACCTCTAGAAGAAACATAAGTGTTGCATCCTTCAACATTCATCGTTATTTGACATAGCATGGGAAGCAAGAAGCGAACAGAGTTGAAGGGGCTGTCGTTTGGAAATAAATTGAGAAACAGAGAAACAAAGCCTCAGGTATTTCAGAAATGTGTGATAAACACCATATTGTCAGTAACTGAAAGCTGACAAACCTCTGTTCATCTTCACCTTCTACAGAGAGCATATAGTCTAAGAGTTGCTTCACTTTTTCTATCCATGCATCGGGGGTTTGCGCAAGATAGCTGGAATAAAAGAGAAAATAATGTTAACTTGAGCTAATGTGAGATCACACATCGGTTGGAGAGGGGAACGAAGCATTTTTCATAAAGGTGTGGAAGACTCTCCCTAGCAAACACGTTTTGAAAACCTTAAGGGAAATCCCAAAAAGAACAATATCTGCTAACAGTGAGCTTGAGCGGTTATAGGTAATCTAAGTGAAGATAGAAGTCTAGTCAGTTTGGAGGGACCAAACAATAAACGATCTACCGGACCAGAAATGAGAGTACTCTAGACTGTCAACCACTATATGGGCATGAAGGAGCAGGATTAACACACCTCACAAACATTAAACTAACTGAATGGAGAAAATTCATATTTGATATATTTCGATCGTCTTTGGTAGCTGATTATCGTTCTTCGCTTTCTAGAGAAAACTACTTCGAAGATTGCTTAGTATCCAACTTGTACAAAACCTAGCTTCACTAAAAAATAATCTAAAATTGAAAGCTGTAAAATTTTAACCAAATATACAACAAAACAGCCCACTTGTATATGGTTGGTTCGGTTAAGTCATCAATTTCCTTAATTTGTTTATCAGCATAATTAATTAATTATCCAAGTGATTCCATCAAGTTAGCTAAATCAAATGGCAATAAACCTACAAGTAAACATAGAGTTCATGCTAATAAATGAAACTCAACCTACTAAATAGTTGACATCAAATTAGTTGTGCACCTTGATCTTCACGAACATTTGATATCGACTTAATTATCTCTTCCACCAAAAAGAAGGCAGTAGCCACATTCCGCTGCTTTAAGATAACACTCTCCTTCAAGGAGAAATTCTTTCAAGCATCATATTTCATATAGGCCAGCACCATACCGATCTCAGCTCTTGACTTCTCTAAGACAAGTATTAGACATCTGAGAATATACATGAGAAGTTAATAAAACATCATTACTGGTAGCAATCACTGAATACCTGTCGGATGGAATAGGATCTCAAACATCAGGTAATTCAATTTCGCCTATCAGCCAAACTTCTCCTAGAATAGATACCATAGACACAGCCAAACTAAGAGCCTGAAGAAAATGCGTGAAGGATAGCTGAAGGATAGCTGAAATTCCATCACGCATATGTTTGGACCAAACATTGGAGGGCACTAGACACGAAAGACATTTTAACGTGATGTCTGAAACATATAACACATCAGCCAAACAATAACAATCTGTAATTATGAAAAAACCAAGAACTAACATGACAGAAAATTCTGCAATTAGTGAAAGATAATTAAAACCAAAAAGAATGTCCAACTGGATAAATCAACCTACAATTGATGCATTAGTCAAGAAACTACGCAAGTAATCTTTATTGTTAGCACCATTAATTTCAGCTTCCAGATTTATATAGAATGGAGACTCCAACAACGGAAGCAGTTGATACAAGATATAAAAATTCAAAACGCTCCTCCAAAACGGAAGCTCCTGACCTACATCGATTAAGGAGCTCAGACCAGAAAAGAAAGCATAATGTATATCTCTCTCTGGAAAATCTTGTCCACGATTAAATCGATTATTTCCTAATGGTAAGAACCTAAATCCACAGAGCAGAAGTGAATTCGTGGTCAATTCAGGACAATGAAGTAAATAATTATATTGCAAATCTGATGTCGTGCCTTGTGATCAATCTAATACATTATCTCAACAGAACATCAATAGTCAAAGGAATAAGGAGGATAACTCATCGTTCTAGTTACCGTCAATAATCAATTGACTGATGTAGAAATGCAACCAAGAGAAAGTATACGGATAGCCGACGCATTGGCTGGATTAGGCCTCTAGTATCAGCGGAATCTCCGAGACGATCTCCAGAAATCTCAGGAACATGAAAAAACGCAGCCAAACCAAAATCCTAACATACAGCTACAAATACACATCGCAATTCTCCTCTCCAGGTCAACTAATAATTCCTTACCAATGCCTAGAAGTTTTAAACGCTATTTTGAGAACATATATGTGCAAGTTTACCGCGGATACCAAAGTGTTAAGGAACATACCAGTCCTGAGAAGCCGATCAAGAAACTTCGCTCCAACAGCATAGTAAACTCTAGTAAGCGAGGCACGATCGTCCACCTCGCAAATTATAGTGACTAAGAAAAGGCCAGCGAGACGCTGCTCGTCCTTCAAGAGCTTCAAAGAATCTTCTATGGATTCCGACGGTGTTCGCTCCTGCTGTAACTCCTACGAAATAGTAAAACAAGAACAAACGTGCGTACAGTGAGAATACTAAGAAATGCAATACTGAGTTCGTGAAAAAAAGAGAGGAAGACATTCACCATGAAAGCAGAGAACTCAAGACTGGAGAATGAACTTGAGAATTCAAATGGAGAAGAGTATTCAAGCGGTAACCTCTTTCCTTCGTCTTCGCTGCTTCTCTTCGATGTTACGGTTTACGAGAGATCTCCCGCCTCCGATTCCAAAGCCCGGGAAATTGAAGAATGCCGCAGGACCATCTATTTATAGTTGAGCCGGCCCATTATCTACTTTCGTGATTTATCTGGGCCGAACCATAACCGTATTTCGACCGGGGATCGGAATTATATAAGGGTATAATCGTAAAATCACTATTTTCTTTCATTTAATTTTAGCATCGAACCACAAATTGTATATTTTTCATTTTAGATTTAAAAATTAAAAATATCAAGTATTGCTATTTTCTATGCTTAATTATATTAAATATTGACATTTTTTTTTACTTTTTTTTTTTTTAATAATAATTGATTTTTGTTGAGGGCAATTTTGGTAATTTTCACCCTTAAATACAACGAGGGTAAATAGCAGAAATGATTCCCGTTCATCACCTTAACAAAAATCGTTTACCGACTTATATTTTTAAAAAATCGAATTAAAATTACAAAAGTGACTCGTATCAAAATCACTTCCAAACATATCAAACTCTACAATATAAGTTTAACGGTAAATATATACGTCAGTATAGAGTTGTGTTATATTAAGTAGATGCATTAAACGTGAGGGTAATTTTGATATTTTTACTCGTGAATACAACGAGGGTAAATTTGTGAGTTAATTTCCCGTGTATCACCTCGAAAAAAATCATCTACCAACCGATACTTAAAGACTTGACTGTTGGATGATGGAAGTCCCACATCGACTAATTTGGGGTGTGATCATGGGTTTATAAGTGAGGAATACTAACTCCATTGGGATGAGGCCTTTTGGGGAAGCCCAAAGCAAAGCCATGAGAGCTTATGCTCAAAGTGGACAATATCATACCATTGTGGAGAGTCGTGTTCGTCTAACATGGTATCAGAGTCATGCCCTAAACTTAGTCGTGCCAATAGATTGGTAAATCCTCAAATATCGAACAAAGAACTCTTAAAGAAAAGGAGCTAAGCCCCTCCTCGAAGGCCGTCAAAAATGACTAAGACTCCAAAGGAGTCGAGCCTCGATTAAGGGGAGGCGCACTTTGTTCGAGGGGAGGTGTTGGATGATGGAAGTCCCACATCGACTAATTTGGGGTGTGATCATGGGTTTATAAGTGAGGAATACTAACTCCATTGGGATGAGGCCTTTTGGGGGGTTTATAAGTGAGGAATACTAACTCCATTGGGATGAGGCCTTTTGGGGGGTTTATAAGTGAGGAATACTAACTCCATTGGGATGAGGCCTGAATACTAACTCCATTGGGATGAGGCCTTTTGGGGAAGCCCAAAGCAAAGCCATGAGAGCTTATGCTCAAAGTGGACAATATCATACCATTGTGGAGAGTCGTGTTCGTCTAACATTGACCACGTCAGCTAAAATACTCGTTTAAACTATCGATCGAGAAATATGCTTGTCAGTTAAGGAGATGGTCGGCAGGTGGTGCTGGTCACGTGCGCTACAAGAAACAAAAAAGAGATCAAAACAAAAAGGTGTGACACGCGTCGAGCTCTGATTGGTAGAGGCATTGAAATTCATTGTTGGATTCTATGGCGGGTGGCTGTGGCAGAGATCCCAATGGAAGTGACCACCACATACATTCATTCAGTAACAAAAGGTCATTTAAAAGCACAAAATAAATAAATAAATAATAATAAATTATTTTATTTATTTATTTTGTAATGGATGCATCGAATTTGTATAATCTCAATAAAAAAGCTCAAGGCTTTTGCTGAATTGGGAGTTGTGTTGGCTGTATCCATTGAAACTAAAATGAAAATGTTTAGTTAATTGTTGGGATTAAAATAAGATTTGTAATTTGAGTGTAGATGATTGTGTTTATTTAGTTTAATAATTTTAATTGTAATTTTAAATAATTTATATTGTTGATTTGTAACGGCCCGGATCCACCGCTAGTTTTAAAGCCTTTAAGGGAAGCTCGAAAGGGAAAGCTCAAAAAGGGCAATATCTGCTAGCGGTGGATCTAGGTCGTTACACATGGTATCAGAGCTAGACATCGAACGATGTGCCAACCTTCTCGTTGTTCTCCAAAGGAGGGTAGACATGAGGCGGTGTGTCAGTAAGGATGCTAGCCCCAAAGGGGGTGGATTTGGTGGCGGTCCCACATCAATTGGAGAAAGGAACGAGTGTCAGTGAGGACGCTGGGCCTCGAAGAGAGGTGGATTGTGATGTCCCATATTAGTTGGGGAGGAGAACAAAACACCCTTTTTAAAGACGGTGGAAACTTTCCCCTAGCCGACGCGTTTTAAAGCCTTGAGGGGAAGCCCGAAAGGGAAAGTCCAAAGAGGACAATATCTAGCGAGGGATCTGGGTCATTACATAATTAATTAAAATAAATGAGCACGACCGTAAGTGGGTAATAGACGAAAGGAAAATAGTCCAAGTCCGCTTTAACCCGTTACATATCGCCGTCAATTTCACAAATTTAAAATGCGTCTATTAAGGAGAGGTTCCCACACTTTTAAGGGCCCAGTGTCCTCGCTGACACTCCCACGATGTCTGGCTCTGATACCATTTGTAACATCTCAAACATAGGGAGAGGTTTCTATAGTCTTAGGAGTCCGCGTCCTTGCTGGCACACCACTCCTGTGTCTGCCTCTAATACTATTTGAAACATCCCAAATTCATTGCTAACAGATATTTTTCACTTTGGCCCGTTACGCATCACTGTCTACCTCACAATTTTAAAACGCGTCTACTGGGAATAGATTTTCACACTCTTACAACTAATATATTTTATTCCCCTCTCCAAAGAACAGTATGATCTCACAATTACATCTTACGTATTAAAAATATTATTTATAAGAACCCGACAATAAATAATAATAAAAATAATATAAAATTGAAATAAACGTAACAATAAATAAATAAATAAAAGTTAAATATAACCCAAATTAGTTTTTTAAAATTGATGAATTTAATTAAATACACAAAATTTTAATTGAAAAACTAAATTAGAGAAAAGCCATTATGGTTTACCCGGTTTGAGAGCCAAACTGCCGCAAATTTCTCCTCTTTCACTCTCATCCATCGCTCTATATATTTCTCCCATTTCTCTCTCCCACTTCCATCACTTCATTGTTCATTTATCTCTCTAAATCAATCAAGAAGTTGCAGAACACAGCCATTTTCTTCATGATGTTGAACGACTACCATCCATTTTCATTTACTCGCAAGCTCAAATCCTCAATCCTCTGTTTCCGTCGCGATCATGGCGATTTCCTCGAAAACGAAGGCGATTCTTCTCCAAGAACCCCTAGATCGCCGCTGAAATCAATGGCCGCAGAGTTCCCGGAGCTTCGAGGAATGTGCAGGAATCTCGTCGCTCGGATCGGCAGGTCTCGCCGCCGGTACCATCACTCCGCCGATTTCCGATACGATCCTTCTAGCTATGCGCTTAATTTCGAGGACGAACAGGTTCGGGATGATGATGAGTTTCCGATTAGGGATTTCGCTTCCAGATTGCCGGCGTCTCCGCCGACTTCCCCGAGACTTTCGCCCGCGAAATGAGGACTGCTAATTAGCATTACCGCCGCCGCCTGTAAATCTCGTGATATTTTGATACGGTGGGGACGGGAATCTCCATTGATTGTAACTGTATAATACTAAAACCTTGTAATTTAATTTTTTAGTTTAGAGAATTTGAATTTTCGGATTCTTACTGGAAAATACATACTTTCAATAAAATATAAAATTAGTTTTTATGGCCAATTTATTATTAACTTTTCTAAAAAAATTATTTTTTTTAGAGAAAAATCGGTATACTTTATCTAAAATAAAATTGTTTGAATTAATCATTTATTCAATTGTTTTTAATAATAATAATTTATTAATAAATAAAATATCTATTTACTTAAAATTAAAATTTTAATTTCAATATATATTTTTTAAAAGTTACATTCTAAAGTCTTAACCCATAAATAAATAAATAAATAAATAAATATCGTATCATAAACAAAAAAAAAAAATTATTATTTAAAATAAATCACTAACTAATCAAATTTTCATTTATTTGAATCTAAGTTGGATGAGTGAGAGTTCAAGTTATTTATATTATTTATTCAATTTTTTTAATAAAAAATAAAATATTAATATGTAAAAAACATATGTTAAGAAGAGGTTTCTACACTCCTATATAAGAAATGCCCGTTTATCTCCAACCGAGGTAAGATTTCACAATTCATCCTTAAATCTCCAACCGATGTAAGATTTCACAATTCATCCTTTAAGGACTTAGCATCCTTGATAGCATATCGCCCCGTGTTTAGCTCTGATACCATTTTTAATAGTCAAAACCCACTGTTAGTAGATATTGTCCACTTTAGCTCCGTGTCCTCACTGTTTTAAAGCGCGTCCGTTAGAGAAGATGTTTCTACACTCCTATAAGAAATGCTCGTTCCCTTCTCCAACCGATGTAAGATCTCACAATCCATCCTTTAAGGACCTAGCATCCTTGCTAGCATATCGCCCGGTGCTTAGCTCTGATACCATTTGTAACCAGCCGAAACCCACTGTTAGTAGATATTGTCCACTTTAGCTCCTTGCGAGTCCTCACTGTTTTAAAACGCATCTGTTAGAAAAGATGTTTCTACACCCCTATAAGGAATACTCGTCCCCCTCTCCAACCGACGTGGGATCGCACCGTTTCATTCAACTCAAACTAACTTTGAAGAAAATCATAAACCAACCCAACTCGTCAAATTTTCATTTGTTTGAATCTAACCCAGACTAACTCAAGTTCATAACCCAACTCAAATCGTACGAATGGGTTGGATTCGTCTTCCTTCCATATATGATACCTTTATATTAAACTTTAGATTATATATAATACTGTAAGGAAGAATGCAGAGATTATTAAAACTGTACACCATATAACCCCCTCACCTTTTTTATACGCATACACATGAAGAAGGTAAACAAAAATCATAACTCCAATCCATGTGGAGTATCCAATTCATTTTCATTAATATACTCCTAAATATCAACTTCTAATTTTTTTTTTTTTTTTTTTTTTTTTTTGTGAAAAATAAAGTCGAGTACCTATTTTTTCCGATCCTTATGCTTGCCTGTCACACGACATATATTTCTCCGTCCCCATTCTCGTCCTGTTTTAGTTCCATCCCGAGCTTCTTCGGTGAAAGCGATAACTATGTTCGTTTCGCAAGCTATAAATGAATATAACTCCAACAATTAGTAATGGGGTGGGTTCATATGCTGCAGCTAAGTGTTGAACAGGAGTTTGTTGGCTGTTGAACCAAAGTCATTTGAAACGGTCGCTGCTGTTTTCACCTGCATTACTTCTTTCAAATTAAGGTTGGTGCAAGTTACACGAGTTATAAAAAAAAATAATAATAAAAAAAAAATAAATTAAATTATAAAAAATACTCATATTCTTGTAGAAGTTGTGATCATAGGCGTTTCAAAACTAGAAATTGGATGAAAAATCGACGTAGTGTTGACTAGAATGCTATTTAGATACGTTGATTTTTCTACTCTGAAGGGTAGTTTTTTAAATGTGTATGAGATCCTAGGTACTTATAAGGGTGTGGAAACCTGTCCCTAGTGGACGTGTTTAAAATTTTTGAGGGGAATCCTAGAACGGAAAGCCCAAAGATGACAATGTCTACTCGTGGTGGGCTTGGCATATTACAAATGGTATTAGAGCCAGACATCGACATTGTGCCATTGAGAGCGCTGAGCTCCCAAGGGAGATGGATCTCCCTAGTATACATGTTTTAAAATCTTGGGGGGAAGCGTATACGCGTTTTAAAACCTTGGAGGAAGCCCACAAAGGAAAGCACAAAGAGGACACTATTTGCTAGCGGGGGGCTCGAGAGAAGCGTATACACGTTTTAAAACTTTGGGAGGGGAAACCCATAAGTGAAAACTCAAAGATGACAATAACGGCTAGCGGTAGACTTGGGCTGTTACAAATGGTATCAGAGTTCGACACTGGGCACTGTGTCATCGAGAACGCAAGGCTCCCAAGGAGGTGGATCTCCCTAGTATACACGTTTTAAAACCTTGGAGGAAGCCCACAAGAGAAAGTACAAATAAGACAATATCTGCTAACAGTGGGCTTTGAAGGAAGCATATACGCGTTTTAAAACTTTGGGAGGGGAAACCCAGAAGTGAAAACCCAAAGATAACAATATCGGCTAGCGGTAGACTTGGACTGTTACAAATGATATCAGAGTCAGACACCGATACTGTGCCATCGAGAACGCAGGGCTCCCAAGGGAGGTGGATCTCCCTAGTATACACGTTTTAAAATCTTGAGGGAAGCGTATACACATTTTAAAACCTTAGAAGAAGCCCACAAGGGAAAGCACAAAGAGGACACTATCGGCTAGTGGTGAGCTCGGGAGAAGTGTATACGTGTTTTAAAATGGGGGGAATCCAGAAATAAAAGCCCAAAAAGGACAACATCTGCTCGGAGTGGACTTAAGCTGTTACCGTATATGAAGGGTCGGGAAAAAGATATATACCTTTTGCGTTTGCTTTTCAAGTTTGTAGAACTCGAAGGATTGCTATGCCAGTTTCGCTTCCTCTGGTTAATGAACCAATTGTTTATCTGTTTTAATTGCAGACCAGTTTCTTGCACCAACCTTGCCTTATCTTCCTCCTAATAAGGCCATAAAATCAACCATTAATGTTCCAAAAACATTAAAATTGTGTAAATGAGCTCAACTTACAGTAGGATAAGGCCACTTTGAATGTGATTGCCACCATTGTTTTAGAACAGAGGTGGTATCACCAGGGAGCTTTCCAGCTCTCCTTTTTCTCAGAATTTCTTCCCTTATATCCACAATTTTCTCCTTGTAACCCTGTCGGGAAAAAGCTTCAGGAACAGTTTTAAAAGCAAAACACTAATGTAATATAACACATTCATTACCGCTTTTAATTCATGCTTCAGTTCTTGTCTGACCCTTTCCATTAAGGACCTCTCAGTTTCTGTGGGAATAAGAGGTCCAAATCCCATGGTGTCAGGACAATCTAAACTCGCTTCGAACAAGTTTGCATCGCTGTCGACCTGGTCGTCGTCGTCGTCTGACATTGTCGCTCCCGTGCCTTCGCCGGGTGAAACTCCTAATGTAGTGAAAACAATACAACTTTGCTGTTAAATATGATCACTAGCTAAAATACTGATGCTCAAAACAAAACAGGTCGTTCCTTGGTCACGATTGACGAGAACTAAAGTTTCCACGGAGATAAGGATTACAACTGTGGGATTCCACATCGATAGGAGGGAGGAACGAGTGTAAGTGAGGATGCTGGGTCCTAAAGGGGGGTGGATTGCAAGATCCCACGTCGGATGGAGAGAGGAACGAGTGCCAGCGAGGATGCTGATCCCTGAATGGGGGTAGATTGTGAGATCCCACATCGGTTAGAGAGAGGAACAACTGCCAATAAGGGCACTGGTCCTCAAAAGAGTGGATTGTGAGATCTCACATCGGTTAGAGAAAGGAATGAGTACCAACGAGGACGTTGGTGCTCGAAGGGGGTGGATTGTGAGATCCTACATTGGTTGGAGAGAGAAACGAGTGTTAGCGAGGACGCTGGTTCTCGAAAGGGGGTGGTTGTGAGATCTCACACCGGTTGGAGAGAGGAACGAGTGTCAGCAAGGACGCTATGCCTTGAAGGGGGGGTGAATTGTGAGATCTCACATCGGTTGGAGAGAGGAACGAGTGCCAGCAAAGATGTTGAGACACGAACAGGGTGGATTGTGAGATCCCACATCGGTTGGAGAGAGAAACGAGTGCCCACAAGGACGTTGGGTTCCAAAGAGGGTGTATTGTGAGATCTCACGTTGGTTGGAAAAGAAAACGAAACATTTTTTATAAAAGAGTGGAAACCTCTACTAGTAGACGCGTTTTAAGAACCTTGAGAAAAAACTCAAAAGAAAAAGTACAAAAATGACAATATCGGCTAGTAGTGAGTTTATACCTGTTAAGCTTTGAAGCGACTGCTCGATGTCCCAGCAAGCCATGACAGCTTCCATGGCATGGACACGAACATGTTGCTGGAGTTGTTCTTTGAACGAACAAAGCAAAAGAACATAATGCGTCTGCAACACGAACATAGAAACAAAACAAACCAATCAAACAGCCATTTGAACAACCTCCAAATCTCAGTTATAATCTTCACTCACTCATTTAAGCATCTAAATAAATGTTCATAAATCAATATCAACAATCAGACAGAGCAGCCAATTCTCAGCTGCACTGCAACGACATAAATTTTCTCGACCCAAGCAGCCAGAGAGTACAACTGAAACAAAAAACATGACCAAGCGACAGAACAACCGACACAAAAATAATTTCTGGTTACTGTCTTTACAATTTGTCCATACGTTGTAAAAAGCTTGGTAGCTCAATTAAATGGCAGATTCTAGTTATTTATTACCATATCTGCCATACTAATTATGGCAGTCTCCAAGTTGCAAGTGAAATTATGAACCACTAATTTATCCATTAGCAGTTCATCCAGTTCTTCTAGAAATTGAATCAAGCCAGAAATTTAGAACAATTTCTGGTAAAAACAGCAATTCCAATCCAAAAAATTTGTGAAAAGATTAAATTAGAAGGATTATGAGGGAATATACCATGAATTGATCGAGGTCTTTGTCGTCGCCGACCATGAGCGGCGCGGTGTGGCCCAAGGCGGAG